CTTCGGGACAACGGATGAGACTCAATCAAGGTCACTTGACTTGCAAAGATTAAATCAGGCCAACCTCTGATAAATTTCGGCAGGTGCAACGCTGGCGACAGGATCGGTCATGTTCATGTCACGTCTATTAGGGAGGGCAGGGAGTGCGGTTCCGTTGTTGATAAAGCTCTTATTCAGACCCTCTATGGCCACAGAAGCAGGTGTGCGGTGTGCGGATTCGAAGCCCGAAATCCGCATAATTACTTGCCTGGTCTCACGATTACCTTTGTTGCCAAACTGATCACAAGTGTATAAAGAGTTGAGCCTACGAAGTTCACCTATGACTGATTTAGAAAGAGTGCACACCACAGTGTGATTATGCAATCTGAAGGCAGGCTCCTTTTTTACGACGGAGCTGTTTGAGGTGTGGGAAGCAGAATCGATCGGGGGCGGATATAAGTTATTTCTGAAGCACAATAAACATCCAGAAATGAGTTCCGGCAACTTGTTAGGAGATCACATAAAACGGGAAGGTTAGAACCGGAAAGCAAAGTAAGACCAGATCCCTTAACTTTTTGAGGTTTTCTGGAGAACTGACTTGCAGCTTGTGATCACGACTTTGACAAAGATACGGTGGTTCGTTATGCTAAAGATGGCAGGGGAAAACTTTAACATGGAGTGATCAGACATCCCCAATTGGGGGGGGGGGCGGCATTCTACACAAAGCAAATTAGGAGGGTTGACCAAACCCAAATCCAAATATGCATCAAATCTGATGAGAAAGGTGACTACGCTGCGAAAACCCTAAGCGGTTCGCAAACGGCTACCAGAATTATTAAAGGTACCACAAATAATACAAATTGAAGTACCTACATATTCAATCAATAATATAGTTGAAAGAGTTTTATAAAAATCATTAATAACATGAGATGAGCACTAGTGGGTAATATATACATTCACAAAAATGAGTGACCGGGAAAAAATGAAATTTTCGAGCTTACATTGCAGTACAGATGCGTTTATGTGGAGTGTAGAATGAAGAAATGCATTTTTGGTCAGGTGAAACCACTGGTTTTCGAAGAATGTGATAACATTACCACCTAGTCTGGAATAAGGAACTGGACAATCGATACGATAGCTAATGAAACCATTCACGTGTACCATTTCATCGTCAATCCCGTTGTGAAGCCAACTTCTTTAGAGCATGATCACACCAAGCTGGGAATATTCCCGCAGTTTGTGCAAGTCAGTGAGTTCGATCCTATTTACGACGAGAGATCGGCCGTTACACTTAAGAATGTTGGGGACAAACAAACGGGAGATGGTTTGTTTCCGAAGACCAAGTCTCCATCCGGCACGATGCTTCCTCCGACTTTCCGAAAGCTTTTTGGACTCCCGGTTGTTCTATTTGATAGAATGTTCAAAATCACGGGTGTATTCGACGAAACTGGACATAACCGTAGTCACACAATAGTCGACCAGGAAATCAAGGTGAAAGCTCATGTGAATAACGCAGAAGAACACTGGTTATGCAGAAAATGATCCAAAGATGGTCCAAACGGATAACGCGACCCAAATCTCAAGGCACTGTCAGATGGTATCTTCCAGTGTACGCCACCTGACGTTCATACGGCTAAGTGTTACTGATAAAGTAACAACACAGTGACGTCAATGATTTTATTCAGATGTAGGTCAGATTCACTCATGTCACGACGCTTTCTATGCACACTATTAGCATCGTGTTGCAGAGGTCACCAAACCACGAGCTCAAACATTCTGACTGAGCGGGCGTTTGCCCGCGACCGTATACTCAGTGAAACAACGCCTACCGAGTCATACGTGAAAGTGGCCGGTCTCAATCGCTCTGACTGTATACATGTAACACCTGAGGGAGATTGCACGTGTAAGGAAAATTTGATGTGCGCATCGTGGAAAAAGCACACACTGTGTAACATGATTGCCCAACGCACTTGTTAAACAAACGAAAGCACGAGATTGTGGCACGGGACCGAACAGATAATGGTAGTGGCACAGTGGTTTAGTCGCTATCACAGGGGTGCTTTGAACCCCGTGGTCCAAGGTNNCCCCGCCACTACCACCAAACTTTGGTGGCTGTGCTGTCGTCTGATTCAATACCACGCCTAACCTATGAGGGTATTATATGGTTCACCATTCTAAGGCCCGGGGCTTAGGTTACCGATTTCCATCACTGAACAGAAGTCCTCGTGATTATGGGGCTTTCCCCGCCGGCTGTTCATCACATGAGTGTGTAATAAAAAAACGTTACAAGTCAAGTCAGTAGTAGTTTTATGCACCCGGATGGGTGTATCTTCAGTAATTACACCATATTTGTGGATTCAAATTAACAAAATCGTCCATAATGAACACAATGAAAGCAGTAGATATTGTGTTTCTCAACAAGGCAAGCAATTGCGCAATTCTGTGGAAATTGTG